ACAAAGGGAAGAGAAAAGAGATATGCCAATCAAAATGAGGCAAAAAAGAGATAGCCTAAAGAGACCAAATAAAAGCACACGATGCAGGACACTCAGGACTGGTATTCCCCTAAGGGTCAGCCTGCTTTTATTTCTCAGGAGTGTGCTTTCACTTTCACTGCCTCGTACTATTGTACTGGCCAACTAAGTCCAACTGCTCCTTATGGTCGATGGAACAAAAAGCAGAGGCAGGAGAAGAAAATTTATTTCTATAACCAGTTACAAGGAGACAGCAAGTACCATAAAACTGTCTGGAAAAGTGCAACCTGTTCTCCATATTTATAGGTTCAAGATGCAAGCACCTGCAAATCATTCCTCATTACAGAGTTAATTGCTTTTTCCTGAGTAATTATCCTGATGCCTTCAAATACCTATTTCTGGTTTCTTATCTGACCATTTGGTGAACCCTTGATGAACCTCTTAACTGTTTGGTCCTCAAACAGACCCTGCCATGGCTCAACAACACTCAGTCAGATTGTTCTCTTTAGAGGTCTTTCTTCATTTCAAAATGGCTGTAGTCTTGCTAAACCCTAAACGGGCCTGCTTACTTTCTTTTGCCCTGCTTGTTATATTCATTTTTCCCTACCATATTGCTTTGTTATTTTTGCTCTACTTCTGTCTCTTGGCTGAATTCTTTCTCACAAGAAGACACCAAGATCATCTCTCCGGGCTAATACTGCAGAGTTCGACAAAAAGTTTTCATTTGCAGGCATATCAGTGTGAGAAAACACCTCCTCCATAACCATAACCAGCTCGGTTTAGTCAGAGTTGATAGAAATCACACCATCTTGATTCCAAAAAATGTTTGCAAAGTTAATTATATCTTAAAGAAAATTAGACTTGGGGGGCGAACAGGTGGTGTGGTAGTTAAAGTGCTGGATTCTCACATGGCTGACTGCAATTTGAGTCCCTATCTAGCAGCTTGAAAATCACAACAAACAAATAAATAAATGTTATAAAAAGATTTTTTTAAAAAAAGAATATTAAAAATAAGAAAATTAGACTTGGGTCTAACAAGCTAAAGTTCCTATTTCAAAAGCTATAATATAGACAAGTCCTACAACAGCCATCACTAAACATTTTCTTTTTCTTTTTTTTTTTTTTGTATTTTTTTTATTGCCAGAGAGTGTATGTGCTCTCCAGAGATGGAAGAGCAAAAGCGTCCCTATCTCATGCCCCCAATGGGGCATGGGCATGGCCATGCCACAATTCCTTCTCTACTTCTTCATCGTGTTGGGAGTTTAGACACTACACACGTGTACCTTTTTCAAGCCGCTGGAGCCAGAACTCAAACCAGGGTAGCTCTAGTTCCTTTAACCGCTCAGCCATGGGGCCAGACCGGGGTAGGCCTACCTCTAACCATTTTGCCACAGGGTCCCCCACCAGTATTTCTAGCTCACACCCGCCCTGCAGAGCTGAGTGAGATCAGGGGCAGCTCCCCAGCACCGACTTCAGACATCTGCCTCTGAAGATGCTGAGGTGACTGCATCTGGCAGCGCAGGGCAAGGGCAGCACGTGGCCAGACAGTGGTCACCCAAATCACCCAAGCCTCAGCGATCTGAAAGCCCCAAGGATAGGAGCAGTTGTGTGGGGTGGGGAGGGGGATTGTGCTTTTTGTATGTGTTTGATTTTCATTTTTTAAGTTAAGATATAACTTATATAGAGTAACATTTAGTGTTTTAGTAAACAGCCCTACGAGTTTCAGCAAATGCATAGAGGGATGGAGCCACCACCACACAGGATACCCCCAAATTCTCCTGGACCACTTGGCAAAACCCCTTCCTTTGTCCTCCTCCCTTGCCCTGGCAATCATCGATCTATTTTCTGTCACTGTAGTCTCACCTTGTCCAGACCTCTTGCCTCTCATCCACTCCCCAGCACCCCATCCTATTATCATTTATTGCCCCGATAATGTCACCCATTCAACATATTGTAAAATATGTCCTGCTTGATACTTGATATTTTCTGTCACTAATACTTGTTCACAAACACATCTAGAAATCTATGGAATTGTCCAACCCAATGGGCATGGGTCAGTCATTCTCTTTTACTTAGATTTTTTTGGGGGGGGATGGGGAGAGGTTTTTGCTATAGGGCACATGTGCTCACCAGCTAGACAGAGAGATAGAAAGCAAGAAATCACCCCCCAGAGGGGATGGCCACGCTGCAATCCCTTCTCCTCCATTCTCCTCTCGGGATCTTGGGCACGCACGCACATGCACCCGGTGTGAGTTTAAGCCACTTGGTCCGGGACTCGAACCGCGGTCGACTACGTGGGAGTCCAGCGACATAGCCGTTACATTAACTGCTGGTCCCTTTTACTTAGCTTTTTCAGCAGGCTTTGCCACAAATAATTGTGACTTCCTAAAAAAAAAAAAAAAAGCCTTCCTTTTTTTGAAATTCTTTCCTGCTTTGGTTTTCGTACACTTGGCAAAACCCCTTCCTTTGTCCTCCTCCCTTGCCCTGGCAATCATCGATCTATTTTCTGTCACTGTAGTCTCACCTTGTCCAGACCTCTTGCCTCTCATCCACTCCCCAGCACCCCATCCTATTATCATTTATTGCCCCGATAATGTCACCCATTCAACATATTGTAAAATATGTCCTGCTTGATACTTGATATTTTCTGTCACTAATACTTGTTCACAAACACATCTAGAAATCTATGGAATTGTCCAACCCAATGGGCATGGGTCAGTCATTCTCTTTTACTTAGATTTTTTTGGGGGGGGATGGGGAGAGGTTTTTGCTATAGGGCACATGTGCTCACCAGCTAGACAGAGAGATAGAAAGCAAGAAATCACCCCCCAGAGGGGATGGCCACGCTGCAATCCCTTCTCCTCCATTCTCCTCTCGGGATCTTGGGCACGCACGCACATGCACCCGGTGTGAGTTTAAGCCACTTGGTCCGGGACTCGAACCGCGGTCGACTACGTGGGAGTCCAGCGACATAGCCGTTACATTAACTGCTGGTCCCTTTTACTTAGCTTTTTCAGCAGGCTTTGCCACAAATAATTGTGACTTCCTAAAAAAAAAAAAAAAAAGCCTTCCTTTTTTTGAAATTCTTTCCTGCTTTGGTTTTCGTAATTTTGTGATTCTCCCCTTAATTTTCTGACTATTCTTCCTCAGTCTCCTGTGCTATCTTCCCAGCATTGACTATCAATGGTACCAAATCTGGCAGCCACTGGTGGTTGCCTACCCAACAGCTTAACCCCATGTTTCTTCTTGTTCCCACATTTGTTCACGTATTCATCCTAAGGGAAGGTGGCCTCACCCACAGTCTCAGAGGTGAATCCTTAACCAACAGGGTAGTCTCATATGTGGAAGTCTTCAAAAAGTTCACGAAAATGCAGACTTTAAAATGCATGGATTTCAAAGGTGGGTTTCTTTGCTTGGTGTGTGTGTGTGTGTGTGTGTGTGTGCGTTTGCACCAAACTCATCCTTTAATTCTATTTTCCCATGATCGAAGTCCCCTCATATGCAGGGACTTAGTGAAATGTAAGGAGAAGGCTGCTGGGGTGGAGTGGGAACTCATGGAAAAGATTCTCCATCCTCCAGTTTCTGTTTTAAAAAAAGATTAGAGAAATGACCAAAGTTATTGTGATATTGTTACATAATAAGAAATATATATTTGGTCTTTATCCCATGTCCCTGGTACAGAGCACCTAAAACCCTTGTAATTTCCTAAATGATCGGAATTCTAGGAGCAATTTTCAGTCTGATATTTGGTCTTTGATTCCAGTTTCTGGCACAGAGCTTCTAAACGCCTTGGGATTTTCTGGGTGATGGGAGTACCTTTCATTTAAATGAGATGAGTCTTGGTTGGTTCCTGGATAGCTTCAACATTGGGACTGGTCACCAAAAAGACCAAGCCATGATTAGAAGCTTGAAACTTTCTAGGACCAGCAGATGCCATAATGGTTATGTTGCTGGACTCCCACGTAGTCAACCACAGTTCCATTCCTAGACCCAGTAGCTTTAAACTCACACCAAGCACGGGTGCATTCATGTCCAAAATCTCAAGAGAACAGAGAAGAAAGGATTGCAGTGTGGCCATTCCCGGGAGAGGGGGAAGGGGGGCTGATTTCTCGCTTTTTGTCTCTTCGTGTCTGTGTCTCTGGCAAGCACACGTGGACTATAGCAAAATCACTCAAAAAAAAAAAAAAATGGTGGGAACCAGCAGTTAGCGTAATGGCTATGTCGCTGGACTCCCATGTAGTTGACTGCGGTTTGCGTCCCGGATGGCTTAAATTAAAATTCACGCCGGGTGCGTGCCCAAGATCCCAAGAGGAGAATGGAGAAGAAGGGATTGCAGCGTGGCCACACACACACACACAAACACACACACACACACCGGGGAGTGATTTCTCGCTTTCTGTCTCTCTGTCTCTCTCTGTCTGGCAAGTGCACGCTCCCTATAGTGAAAAAAAAAAAAAAAAAAAAAAAAAGCTTGGAACTTTCAGCCCTAACTTTCATCATCTGGAAAGGGGACAGTAACTGAAGTTTCAGTAAATGATCAATCATGCCAATGGGATGAAGCCTTAATAAAAATCCCTAAATGACATTTAAAGGGTTTCCAGTTTGATGAGCACATCCACGTCCTAAGAGAGTGGAGCACCCCAATCCCATGGGGCCAGAAGCTCCTGTGCTAGACTCTCCTAGACTTCACCGTGTTCTTTATCTGGCTGTTTCTCTGTATCATTGTGCATGTCCTTTATTCTATACTGAGCTGGTAAATGTAAGTTTTTCCCTGAGTTCCATGATCCGTCATAGCAAGTTATAAAACCTGAGGATGGGATTCTCATTTGCAGAGTTTCTCATTTGCAGCTGAGTCAGATAAAAATGAGGTATTTTGGAGATTTATTACTTGTAATTGGTATCTGGAGGGGGGAGCAGTCTTGGGGGACTGAGTCCTTCATCTGTGGGGTCTTACTAACTCCAGGTGTTGTCATAATTCACAGGACACCTAGCTGATGTCCAGAGATGGAGAACTGGTGGCTGTGGAAAAGCCCAGCCCGTTGGTGTCAAGAAAGTATAGATACAAACGTGAGTGCAGAGACAACGTGAATATGTAGGTGAAAACAGTGAGTCTGAGGGTCAGACAGTGGTTCAGCAGTAAAATGTGATGATCTGTAAGGCGACCCACATGGGGAAGAGTCTGGGTTTGCATCCAGAGGAATCCCTGAGTCCAGTGGCCATATCTAAATCTATGATCCAGGGCCGGCTGAAGCTGGGAGTGGATTGTGGTGTCATGAATCCACTGGGGATGCTGCCTGTCTGTCTGTCTCTTTCTGGTTCTCATGCTTGTGAAAGAAAGAAATGTTAAAAAAGAAAATAGTGAGTTTGGTTTTTTATGCTTTTTTGTCATATTGTCCTTCCTGTCCAGAATTAAGGCAGCAACGTTGTGATTGCAATGCGACAGGTATAACAAAATCTGACACATTGAGCATGGCGAAAGCATAGTAAATGGCGAAACAGATGAAAGAATCCACCTGATGTTCCCAGACCACCAAATAAACCATCCCAGAAACTCTGGAAGCCCAGAGGAGCACCAAAGACACCTCTCTCCAGTTGCACAATTCTCTCTTGAGGTAACTCTAAATGCACAACGCATGTGCCTCAGCTAACAATTGCCTGTAGATAGGCCTGTCTGAATAAGGGGATTTCTCAAAACTTTTTGCAGTGATTTCTCACCCACTTGGTGCTACCTTTTCAAAACACAATTTAAGTTTGGAGAAAGGCAGATGCATGATGCGTGTCGTACTGATTTTTTTTATTTTATTTTGGGAGAAAGAAAACATTTCTGATACATTCCCCTCCCCTTGACCCACAGCGAGCATTTCCAGCTTCTGTGTCAGGGAAAGACCCTGAGAAGTGGGAACATTCCCTTTAGCACATTCCTTTTTAACATTCCCTTTAACACTAAAGCAAATGAAGACCCTGTCTCAAAAGGTGCTTCCAGTGTTGACAGATGCTGATTTGTTGCTTTCTGTTCAAAGGAGGAAAAAACAGACTAAAGCTAAAAGTGATTTAAGATACTTTGATATCTGTTAATATTCTGGAATTATATCAAATGCCTAAGTTTTTGGTTGGTCTTGGCGGCCCTGAAACTGGCATGAGGCCTCTGTGAGGCTGCTACGCTACTGTCAGAGCACTGGGAAGACAGACGTTTAACCCAGCCTATTCCCAACCTGAAGTCACTGGCAGATCGTCAAGGACAAATTATTTGTTGTTCAGAAGAGAATGGAGTTGATTAAAACTATTTTCAACTCTTACAAGTTTAAACTTCAATTGAACTTCTTTTTTTTTTTTTTTTTTTGGAGAGATTTTCACTGTAGGGCGCGTGCGCTCGCCAGACAGACAGAGAGAGACATAGAGACAGAAAGCGAGAAATCACCCCCCAGGGGGGATGGTCACGCCGCAATCCCTTCTCCTCCATTCTCCTCTCGGGATCTTGGGCACGCACGCACACGCGCCCGGCGTGAGTTTTAAGCCACCGGGTCCGGGACACGAACCGCGGTCGACTACGTGGGAGTCCAGCGACATAGCCATTACGCTAACTGCTGGCTCCCGAACTTCTTTAAGATGTGTTACAGACAGAAAAGGTTCTAGGTGCACCGCGGCCTCATCAGGCACCCAGCACGCACCCTGTCCGCAGCCAAGATACCCAAGAGGAAGGTCAGCTCAGCCGAGGGGGCGGGCAAGGAAGAGCCCAAGAGGAGATCTGCGAGGTTGTTGGCTAAACCTCCTGCAAACGTGGAGACGAAGCCAAAAAAGGCGGCAGGGAAGGATAAATCTTCAGACAAAAGAGTTCAAACAAAAGAGAAAAGGGGAGCAAAGGGGAAACAGGCTGAAGTGGCCAACCGAGACACTAAAGATTTACCTGCAGAAAATGGAGAAACTAAAA